GCTCTTTGCTTTCGCTTGCGACTGTTCTTGGTCGTCTGAAGGCCCAAAGACGCCCAATTTTGTTGTGTTTTGTGTTAGAAAACTGCGTCCGTTCGGCCGGTCACGTGCCCTTCGGAGCGTATGGGTCCTCTTGAGACGCAGGGGGTGGGGTGGGGGCATGGTTCTGTGGTTTTGGTTCGCGGTTCTGGTTCCATAGTCGTAGTTCAATCATGGCTCTGGATCCGCCACTGGCCCGAGCAGCCTGGTGGATGGAGCCCTGACGAGAACATAGGGCCCTGCACTCAAAAAGAAAGTACGCGAAACACAATGCAGAGGGCCGTCTAACGATCGAGTGTGCCCGATTAGGTTACCAGAAGAGGCCCCGACAAAAGCGTAGGGCCCTTCAGTCAGATAAGGAGTACCTAAGATCCAGCCTGGAGGGCCCCTCGAAAGATCGAGTGCACCCAAGCAGGCTATCAGGTGGTCCCCGCCAGAAGCGTAGGGCCCCACATTCCAATACCAAGATCCAATGTGCAGGGCCCCTGAACAATTCAGTTACTTCAAAAGATGAACAGGTGGGCCCCCGACAATTGCGTTGGGTCATCCATTCAAATACAATATACCCAAGAAACAATGTGGAGGGTCCCCACACAATGGAATGGGCCAGAGCAGGTTACAGAAAGGACCCCCGACAACGGCATAGGGCCCTCCATTCAAATGAGAAGCACCCGGGACCCAATGTGGATGGCCGCCGAACGACCGAGTGTTCCCAATCACGTTAACAGATGGGCCCCGACAAGAGCGTAGGGCTCTGAGCAAAAGACAGCAAATTGGAAGGCCCCTAGACCAAAGAAGAGGGCCCATGAGCATACCGTGAGTGTGTCGGTAGGTTAACCGAGACCAGCGTGAAGGGCCCTTAGGCAACCGAGAACCCCGGCAGGTTAACATATGGGCCCCCTGGCTATAGCGCATAGAGGCTTTCCGGCAAACGGAAAGAATCCGTGAAAGGTCCCTGATTGACAAGAGTGTCCAGGCACGCTAGCACGAAGGTCTCAGTAAGAGCTCAGGGTTCTCTGAATGCGAATAAATGAAGGGCAACGCAGAAAGCTTCTTAGCGGTCGGATTGACCCTCCAAGTGGACATGTAGGGCCCTCACAAACAGCGTAAGGCCTCTGGACAGCGTAATGAGCTGTAGAATCTCCCAGTCACCACTCTCAATCAGCGAAGAATATTGTTGTCTACTTGTGGGCCCTTCGATTTCGCCTGCATCCGTTCATGGTTGCCTGGAAGCCCAAATACATCCGATTTTGTTACGTTTTGTCTAATAAAAAAACAAACAAAAAAAACTGCGTCTGTTCGACCGACTGTGGGCCCCTTTGGAGCCTAAGGGCTAATTCGGGGCCTAAGTAAGCATGGTCCCGTGCCCCCCCCCCTTCCCTGGATCCGCCCCTGTTAGCACTGACTTAATAACTAATAAAAGCTAAGTGCTGGTCAGCAGACTCAAATCCGACGCTTCATCTCAAAATCGCTCAGCTTTGTACAACCCTACTTCTGACTACACTTACGTATTGTTTCGGACAGTTTCTAGGCAAAGTAAACAGAATAAAAGGAAGGACCCCCAACCAGATAAACCGTTCTCTTCTTCCAGCGCTCCCCCACACTTCTGCATCCGCCCCTGATACAAACATGGGTCACGTGCATCCAAATTCATGTGTATGTTTGCATTCATGTCGTAGTTTGTTTTAGCAAAAAGGGCCTACTCTCCGGCCTAATTTGAGCAGCCATCGCGCTGGCGGGCAACACGTTAAAATATTTCTCAAGACCTGCAGGCTCTGGCAAATTTACTGGATCTTGTGAAACCGGCTTTGTTGTTGGGATTCATGAATGAACATAGCCTAATCGCATCAGGTGCAAATACATTTTCAAATGGTCATTAGATACAATATAAATGCGAACGCGTGCAATGCCCATCCCAGAACCAAAAGCGAAACCAATTATGGGCCATTTTTTGGTCAATAACATTAGCTGATCATAATATCGGAGAGCCGGTCAGCCGCCGGTCACGGGTAGGTTTGCCGTCGACCCAAAGACCAGCTGGCCTCAGTCAATGCTGTCGTGATAAGTGATGCAAGCGTACCACCGATGCTCTAGTTCCCTGTTACAAGTACTAGCCGCCGCTACTCTGCGGCATCTAACCTTTGCCCTCACAGCCCACGCCAACGTAACCAGACCTGTTGGCGAATTTTACACTGTTGCTGTAGACCAAAGTAGGCGCCGGGCAGCGTCTAGGGCCCACAGAACAGGCGATATGCTCTCAAAATCCTTGGAAAGCATTTGCGCCTGTAGGTGTTGGTAAGATATTATGGTACCAAACAATTCTTCAATAACAGTCGTTGTTCAAAACAGGGCACATTGTTCGACATCATTCCAGTGTGCCACGAGAGCTCCCAAGCTCATGTTTGTATAGCGATAGGCATGTAGGCGGGCTGCTATAGCAACAGACGCCAGGCGCCAATCTCCGAACAACGGCTGGAGTCTCTTTATGATGTGAACTTCGAGTTCGTGATGTATACTTTTTGCAGGGCGCAGTCGCCACAAGAAGAAACTACATACTAGGCAATTTTTGAGAAACTTCTTGTAAATTGCATGATTTGGAAAAAATATAGCATTCCTCCTGAGGAAAGGTATGGGCACATGCTTGCGCTGGCAAAATTTGATAGCATGCAATGCGTACACTCAGATATACTGAATATTGAGTGCACACTCACACTTGGTTGTCAGCTTGGCACCAACGTTACCTGCATATCAAGACAGTAATTGGTCACGTATTCGAAAGCAAACTTGTTGATTTTAATTTCGTCGATTTTGGTGCCGAGAACTACGTGGGAGCGAATTACGAAAAACAACTGAATTCTTACCATCCATAAATTTTGTAATTTTCTGCGGAGGGGCACCCCTGTTCAATTGCTATGATGGCCAATGCCCTCGAGATTTAACAAGTTAAGCAAGTCCGAAGCCAGTGGCTTCAAACTTTAAGCGGAACGCAAGCCAGCAGTTTCGAACGTAGGAAACACGAGCCAAAGCCGACACATCAGTTTAAAATCACGAGGCCGGAGCCAGAGCCGACTCTAATAAATGTCTATGTTATGTGAACCCACGGCTATTATGCCGTCTGCTTTAACTCTATGGGAACACAATATGCCATCAGGCTTTTGCCGAAAGATTGAGACGACGTGTTAGCGTTGGGTACGGATCGAAAAATCACTCGGACTAACGTCCTGGTCTTGTGGGCTAGCACGCGCAGCCTACGCAAGCGCATGCGTGTCACAACATCGCGGAGCTGTGTGACATATGTACTGGATGACTGGACATAGCATGCGTTTTGGGGATTAAAATTAGGACTGCGGTGACAAAAACAGCGCGACGAAACCGAAGGCAATAGTTAAACATGACATGAGGCCGAAAGCAGCAGGGACGCAGGCAGGGGGAGAGGAAAGGGGGGGGGGTAAGCCTGACCCATAATCAAAACGTTGTTTAAAGCCGACGTTACGGCCAGGTGTAAAAATGACTCAAAGCCGAAGCCAGTCGTGCAAATGTCATAGCTGGAATCCCCAGTCCGAAGTATGGACGGAAAATTACGCCTTGACGAAGCCGAAGCTGAAGCCGGTTTTGACCCCCTGATTCCCCTGAACCCAACCCAACACCCCTGACATTTGACATGACATGTGATATCCGATTGTAATCTAGCGGGTGCGCATCGCACGGAACATTCGATTGCTGCCAATTGATATCTAACCATTTCAATATCGCCGGGCTGCTAAGGAATTTGCAACACTCTAGGCGGAAAAGAATCTTCCGCCAACGCAAAAGCTTAGGCATTCCCTCGAAACGCAACTGCGACAAATAACACAGGGTTTGATATTTATAACAAACTTTGCTCATCACACAATCGTAACGTTACGATTGTTGCAGATCTCAGCACATGGAAGGTTTCCACCTAATCGTCGTGCAGCCCCTGAGCGGCAGCATAACACGATGCTGGTGGCACGCTAAAATTCCAGGGATGTACGGGCGTCCAGTGCACCCGCCTGGCCAGGAAACCTTTTTCAGATAATCGCAGCTCCCAGTCAGAATGCCTTATTTTGGGATATTTAGGCCCTTTGTTAGGCTTTGAGGCCCTTTTAAGATTCGGAAGGACAATATTCTGAATAGGATTCAAGGGACTCCTGATAAGTAGGTCTCGCTATGCACTATGACCCCCCGTCCTGGCACAGGACCTGCCTTGGACGGGGAGGTCATTTACTGAATACAAAACCATGAATCGGAAATTCGCCATTCCTGAGTTGTGTTATTGTGGACACTTCTTTACATGGATAATAATAATGTAACGTTGAAATAAGGGAGTACATGTCCAGGCGCCCCGGGGCGCAATACTTGCACCCGCCTTCCGCTGAATGCAACATTACCCGCAGGGACCCTGCGAGGCGGGCACTTTTTGTCCAGCAGACCTCCTGGATAATCCTGCCTCATAGATAAGACAGCAGTATTAGCGTTATGCCTCGGAAAAACCAGGAGAATGGAAATGGTATTAGGTTGATATTTCGGCGACATGTCTTATCGAAGCAAAAGCAGAGGTTTTCCTGGATTTTCCGAGAAATAAGGCTAATATTACTGCTTTATCTATGTGAATAACGTTCCTCGCCAATGCACTGAACAACTTACAACATCCTGTCCCTTCCAACCAAAATCTGTGGTGCTCCCCAGCCCTTTACCCTCCCGCGGCGATGCATGCACCAGCCGGAGGTAAGCCCAAGCATGGCTATAAAGAAGATGCAACTCGGCAAAGGTCTGTTTTTGATGTATTGGCTTTATGTTCATGCCCTCGACATCTAGAGCTTGAAGAACGTACGTGAGCTTATAAGTTCTCTACTAGATAGCAGCACCTAATCCAAGAGACGTAATTGACGCACTGGATACATTTTTAAAGAGTAAACAAAAATCGAGATCCGCCAGTCTTGAGCGTGGGGCTTGGCGGTGGTGTGCGTGAGGGCGGGATCCGGCGCCCCTGGCTGTAAGGCGCTCAAGGGTCAGGACACCAATGGAACAGGTACCGTAACCTGGTTAATATTATATGTTCAAAGCCCACTCTAATTTAGTCATGTGGTTATGTTGGTAAGATTTGTCTGGCATGGGCGTAATATGGTCAACGTTTCTTCGCTTGGAATCAAGACGATGCTTATGAGCCGACAGCCCGATAAATCCCAACTATATTGACATTTAAAGCTTTGTTAATGCAGAACATTGGTTGCGTCTTATCTTAGTAAAATGGAAAAGCTGTAGTCAATAAAGCTATGGCAAGAAAATTAAACTGTACCCTTCGGAGGCTTAGTTTCGGTAGTGAGATTGGGAAGGGGGCTGCCCAGTAAAAAATGAGTCAAAATGTCTTTAAAGATGCCACCAAACTGGGTTCTTCACGAATTGTGCCTACTTTTTGTTTAAACTTGGGGGCTTTGCTGCTCACTTCAAGCAGATTTTGTTAACCCTTCCCCTGAGCATGATCTACCATCAGATCTGGCTATTTTCTGTGATTCTGTCAGTTTGTGTGTTATAAAACACACCGTGATGAACCTCATGCTCCAGTGCAATACTTTCTGCTACAAAATTTGGATATGCTACCCATAAACTGGAAGCTGTGTCCCATCTCCACTTAATTGGGATCTCAACAAGAATTACCATGATTCACAGACTGGTCGCTGAAGCTCTATTGTCAAACAGAATCATTGCCATTAATGCTATCACCGTGCTGCCCTGTGTCAAGTTGATCCCTGGTCAGCTGCCAGCAGACTGTTTGATTGGGCATGTCATCAGCCTGCTCAGCCACATCTTGGATTCAAACCTGTCCTCTGGAATTCCAGTTATCCACTCCATTGTCTCAGTCACTGAGACTTTCAGGCACAGCCCATCAAATTCAATGTGATGTTCATTGGAGGCTTGGCTGCCTGAGTATGTTTAGACTAGGTGTACAGCCCCTAGTCAGACTAGTGGCATGTTCCACGGACAAAACAAGACAAAGTTGAAGGTGGTGATCAGCACAGCCACTTTGTGCCCTTTTCAGTTATAAGCTGCTGAATCGGCCACGTCCCCATCACGCATGTTATTTGGTTCAGGAGCCCCATGTTACATGATATGCCCTGCCATATGATGACAAGGTTTCACCATACAATGCTGTGCTCAGGTACTCAATTACTGGCCTTCAACAGGTAAAATCTCTTCAAAGTTTCAACATGTATTGTTATTCATGCTATATTGGCTGTCAGCAATGTTCAGTTTTGCCTGGGTTGTAATGTGAAATAATGCATTGCCATCATGCAGTGGTGACAGATGCACAGTGACCTTGATGACCATCATGCCATGGTTTAGCAAAGAAGCAAGACTTGTGTCATGTGCGTCCAGCCTGCCCACTTGCAATTTGGTGAATGGAAATCCATTGAAACAGAATCAAATGTTATCATTTTTGCAGAGTTTGTTGGTTTGATGCTTCCAGGATCTATCTGACTGACACCAGCATCCCTGCACCAACACCTGTATCCATCCATTCCAGCAGGCTTGGCTCCCTTGCACTTACTGTTGATGTTCTGATAACAATGCAAGCCAGGAAAAAAACAGCAAGAGTTGTGTTGGTGGTCAATAGTTATCTTGCTGTGGTAGATACGATTTTGATGGCGTGTGACATCCCAGTGGTTGGCATTTTGGCCTTCCACGTGGAGGAGGAGGAGGGGGGGGGGGGGGGGGGGCTCGAACCCCGATTCCTCATTGTCCCTGGGGGCTTATCTGGCAAATTTACTCACCCGCGCTCCATAAGAGACGACGTGCGTCGTGTTTCCGTTTACAAAGGAATGATTTTGGCTTATGCTGCTGGCTTAACGGAGGGAGAAGAATCGGGCCATCCAGAAATAACGTTTCGCATTTTGTACATTTTTAATCCCCGCCCTTTCCTTGGTTATGCAGCGGCTACGTTGCCCCCCCCCCCCCTCGTTCTCCCCTGGGCATGCTGTGTTAAGCGCAACGCCCAAAAATGTCTGTTTTGCCTTTTCTTGGGCTAGAGGTGCGAGATAACTAACGGGTGTGTTTTTTTAATGTTAGGATGCCAACGATAACAGGCTTTGAGGTTGGCGTTTTTTAATATTGTTTCATTTCTGCAACGACCCCTGAGCGCGACGTCACGTTGTGGATATGCTTCTCCTCCCTCTCGTGTCACGCTTCTGTTACGCTCCATCAGGACCTTCCCCTCTCTCCATGCGTAGCGTAATTTATGGACGGCCGTGATGCGAACCTCGGAGGTTCACTTACCTTGAACTTGAACTGTGTCAACGCTGTGGAGACTACCATTACACGCCAATTTTGTGTCAGCAATTTATCACAGGCTAGCAGGGAAAAAATGTTTCATTGTTTTAGATAAGAGTTGCCCTCGAAAGCATCCGCCCTCCTTCCCTCATTCAGTGTGTCACTCGGAGTGCGCGCACCGCCCGTGTCTCCGCGCAAGCCGCGCGCCTGCCTCAGCCATGGGTGGGCTTCAGTGCTCCCCGGGCGCGCGACCCATCCCAGCGCTCGGCCGAAGCCAACAGAAGGCTCCCTGCTCGGGCCAAGTCTCGGTAGTGGGATTCCCAGATGGCTGCAGTCTTGCCCAACCACTCGCCTCAGTACTTCTCATCCCGTCTCTCGAGCGTGGCTATTGCGAGCGGAAGCGGTAGCGGTTCCATCCGGCCCAAAGGCTTCCGAAAGCCCGGAAAGTCATAGCTTACCGCCCATGCATCTTGCACGACCTGGAAAGATTCTTGGTTTCCATTTTGTCGTAGCAAAAACTCTCACAACGAGTGTATCGCTGGCTTGACAAGACTTCCAGACACTATTATGCACCGTTTCCCGTTCTTCCGAAAAATGCAGGGATAGGGCGGGATGGGTAACCCGCGCGTAGTAAATGCTAAATGGTAAATTAAAATTATTAACTTACCAAGATAATTATAACTGTAAGCAAGTAAAGTGTAGATGACTGAAAGCAAGGAACTGTTTGCTGCGCCGGGCATACCGCGATACGATAATGAGCGAAACGTACCAGCGATAGGATAACAGACGCGATTATCACTAGGGAGATGATTACTTATATAGGCAAATGGAGCTCGCCACCTCTTCGTGCCCATATCAACAACAATTTTTAATGCGTCAGAATGTTCTGCCCTCATGAGTTTAGTGTGCGGAGGGACAATGATGTGTGACGTCCGTGGACTGGGTATCTCGGGCTGTTGAAATAACGGACTGATGTCTCCCTGGTAAGCGAATGAATTTCGAAAGAGGTTGCGTTTTTGGTGACTTATCAGAACATTAAACAACGCTAACATTTTGGATGGATATGAGTCCTAGTTAACTGAACGGCACGCCTATGTAGTTTGTATGATCCGATCTGTACTGGTTTACAATACAACCGTAGGCAGTATTCAGGACCAGTTCTGAAAAACTGGTCTGTAACTGGCCCGCCTTTACGTCGGACAGCTGTTCAGATCTCTGAATGACTTGAAGACGTCACGTTCGCCCACGTAGTACACAGGCTCCAGATCTCTGCCTGTTGTGGTTGCGGATATGTGACATCTGCCCCTAAAACGCGTGCCGAAAACGGGTGGATTCATGGCTCGCGTGCTATTGCGCTTGCGAGTCTTCACATGCTGGCCCACACTGTTCCCAGTCGAGGGTCTGCGTTCTGCTCCGCCGGATGAGTTCGATGGGCTGTTCTGACCTCGCTGGGTCGCCGGGTCGCCGAGGTCGTGACCTAACTCTGACCCGCGCTCATCGACGGTCTGACGTGCTGAAACTGTGACGTCTCCCATGCTAATCGAATGTGGTAAAAGTTTGACGTTGAAACCTTGCAGAAGGTAACGACCTTATCTAACAGCTTTCATCGAAGCTGTATGCAAATATTACTCAAAACCAACGTTGCAGAACGCGATGACCTGGTCGAACAGCTTTCATTGAAGCTGTATGAAAATGTTACCCATAATCTTTTTTTAAGCATTATGTCATTGGCGTGCTTCGGCGAATCGCACGCTGACGGATTCATGGTCGTCTGATGGGATTACACATGCATGTGTTCATGCATATCTAAGCATTATTCGAGATTGTAAAAACGGTACGTTGGCAGCTAGGCTGAGGCATAGTTTTGTAAAGCGAAGGACCAAGGTACGTTCACAAAGACCCAAACTGCTATTTTATCTAATTTACGGGTGCATCTGTTGCGCGCAGCCATAGTGGACCACAAAAACTCAAGCGCCCGTCTCAAGTGCATTAATTTATTTCTGGCTTTGGGACTAGATAAGACCTTGAGTATGTGCTGTGCCGTACAGGTCTGTGGCATGGCTGCCTGCGCGAGGTACTGGTCCTTCCCAAAGCCAGATGCCATGTCGTTTATCAACCGGTCGAGCCAAACAGTGTGCGTGTTCTGGGACTATACGTCATTCCGCTGGAGTCGCATTTTGCGTGCGAGAATGTTGTTGGTTCGTTCACGAGGCTTAAGGCTAGACCTTACAACCCAGCGAGTGCGAAAGTCCTTGTCACGCAATTGTGTGCGTTAGCTTAAGTAGGAAGTGCGGTTATGATTATGTGTGGTTAGCACGTGATATGGGTGGATAAAGTTTGGACGTTCAGTTTATGGCGGGCGCTGATAAGATCTCGGCACAGTGGCTGCCCGCGTCCCATTGGAGGCCAGCAGAAGGTTGACGAGCCGGAGCGCGCCCTGCACGAGGACTGAACGCTCTACGAGTCTGAAGCAGTTTGTCGTGTAAATCTGTCGATGAATTGTCTTAAATTGGGTTTGCGCCATTCAAGGTGTGTTGCATACGTCAGGTCTCCCTGCATTGGCGTTGATAAGGTCGTTTTCATGCTTCGTTCCATTCAGTGGCTGCCATCCGGGCCCGCCATCGTATGTTCAACAATGGCGTTTTCCTGTTACAACGAAAACAGCCCAGTGTGGAGCACGATCGTGGCTGGTGCAAGGCCGTGTCGCGGTCTCGAAGCCGTGGCTTCGTGTCTCTGCGGTTTTCGGGCTGATCGCCCTCGCCG